TACAGAAACTCTTCTAGCTCGTGTTTACCTGTGTCCGCTGTCTCGAGAGAACAGAAAGTGAAGAGCGCGAACGCACCAGTGACTGAAGGATTGCCGTAAAGCATTATCTCTGGTCGCACGATGTGTGTGACGTCATTGACATTTTAAAAGACTTTTTAAAGCAAATAAGTGACTCTAAAAAATCTAACACCCAACAATGGGTAATTTCTTTGCATCTCGTTTCGAATACAACATTCAAATTACTAGACAAAAAATTATATCCTGAGAAAAGTGTATTTTGAAGGGTATATCTCCATAGACCTCCATTCATTCTGCACTCGTCCTGTGAGCGCCCTCACGTGGAGCCGGAGTCGTCCTGTGAGCGCCCTCACGTGGAGCCGGAGTCGTCCTGTGAGCGCCCTCACGTGGAGCCGGAGTCGTCCTGTGAGCGCCCTCACGTGGAGCCGGAGTCGTCCTGTGAGCGCCCTCACGTGGAGCCGGAGTCGTCCTGTGAGCGCCCTTATGTGGAGCCGGAGTTGTCCTGTGAGCGCCCTCACGTGGAGCCGGAGTCGTCCTGTGAGCGCCCTCATGTGGAGCCGGAGTCCTGTGAGCGCCCTCACGTGGAGCCGGAGTCGTCCTGTGAGCGCCCTCACGTGAAGCCGGAGTTGTCCTGTGAGCGCCCTCACGTGGAGCCGGAGTCGTCCTGTGAGCGCCCTCACGTGGAGCCGGAGTTGTCCTGTGAGCGCCCTCATGTGGACCCGGAGTCGTCCTGTGAGCGTCCCCATGTGGAGCCGGAGTCGTCCTGTGAGCGCCCTCACGTGGAGCCGGAGTCGTCCTGTGAGCGTCCTCACGTGGAGCCGGAGTCGTCCTGTGAGCGCCCTCATGTGGAGCCGGAGTCGTCCTGTGAGCGTCCTCACGTGGAGCCGGAGTCGTCCTGTGAGCGCCCTCATGTGGAGCCTGAGTCGTCCTGTGAGCGCCGTCCTGTGAGCGCCCTCATGTGGAGCCTGAGTCGTCCTGTGAGCGCCCTCACGTGGAGCCGGAGTCGTCCTGTGAGCTTCTCACGTGGAGCCGGAGTCGTCCTGTGAGCGCCCTGATGTGGAGCCGGAGTCGTCCTGTGAGCGCCCTCACGTGGAGCCGGAGTCGTCCTGTGAGCGCCCTCACGTGGAGCCGGAGTCGTCCTGTGAGCTTCTCACGTGGAGCCGGAGTCGTCCTGTGAGCTTCTCACGTGGAGCCGGAGTCGTCCTGTGAGCGCCCTGATGTGGAGGCGGAGTCGTCCTGTGAGCTTCTCACGTGGAGCCGGAGTCGTCCTGTGAGCGCCCTCACGTGGAGCCGGAGTCGTCCTGTGAGCGCCCTGATGTGGAGCCGGAGTCGTCCTGTGAGCGCCCTCATGTGGAGCCGGAGTCGTCCTGTGAGCGCCATCTTGTGAGCGCCGGAGTCGTCCTGTGAGCGCCCTCACGTGGAGCCGGAGTCGTCCTGTGAGCGCCCTCACGTGGAGCCGGAGTCGTCCTGTGAGCGCCGTCCTGTGAGCGCCGGAGTCGTCCTGTGAAAGCCCTCACGTGGAGCCGGAGTCGTCCTGTGAGCGCCGTCCTGTGAGCGCCCTGATGTGGAGCCGGAGTCGTCCTGTGAGCGCCGTCCTGTGAGCGCCGGAGTCGTCCTGTGAAAGCCCTCACGTGGAGCCGGAGTCGTCCTGTGAGCGCCCTCACGTGGAGCCAGAGTCGTCCTGTGAGCGCCCTCACGTGGAGCCGGAGTCGTCCTGTGAGCGCCCTCACGTGGAGTCGTCCTGTGAGCGCCCTCACGTGGAGTCGTCCTGTGAGCGCCCTCACGTGGAGTCGTCCTGTGAGCGCCCTCACGTGGAGTCGTCCTGTGAGCGCCCTCACGTGGAGTCGTCCTGTGAGCGCCCTCACGTGGAGTCGTCCTGTGAGCTTCTCACGTGGAGCCGGAGTCGTCCTGTGAGCGCCCTCACGTGGAGCCGGAGTCGTCCTGTGAGCGCCCTGATGTGGAGCCGGAGTCGTCCTGTGAGCGCCCTCATGTGGAGCCGGAGTCGTCCTGTGAGCGCCATCTTGTGAGCGCCGGAGTCGTCCTGTGAGCGCCCTCACGTGGAGCCGGAGTCGTCCTGTGAGCGCCCTCACGTGGAGCCGGAGTCGTCCTGTGAGCGCCGTCCTGTGAGCGCCGGAGTCGTCCTGTGAGCGCCCTCACGTGGAGCCGGAGTCGTCCTGTGAGCGCCGTCCTGTGAGCGCCCTGATGTGGAGCCGGAGTCGTCCTGTGAGCGCCGTCCTGTGAGCGCCGGAGTCGTCCTGTGAAAGCCCTCACGTGGAGCCGGAGTCGTCCTGTGAGCGCCCTCACGTGGAGCCAGAGTCGTCCTGTGAGCGCCCTCACGTGGAGCCGGAGTCGTCCTGTGAGCGCCCTCACGTGGAGTCGTCCTGTGAGCGCCCTCACGTGGAGTCGTCCTGTGAGCGCCCTCACGTGGAGTCGTCCTGTGAGCGCCCTCACGTGGAGTCGTCCTGTGAGCGCCCTCACGTGGAGTCGTCCTGTGAGCGCCCTCACGTGGAGCCGGAGTCGTCCTGTGAGCGCCGTCCTGGAGCCGGAGTCGTCCTGTGAGCGCCCTCACATGGAGCCGGAGTCGTCCTGTGAGCGCCGTCCTGTGAGCGCCCTCACGTGGAGCCGGAGTCGTCCTGTGAGCGCCCTCACATGGAGCCGGATTCGTCCTGTGAGCGCCCTCAAGGTAGAGCCGGAGTCGTCCTGTGAGCGCCCTCACGTGGAGCCGGAGTCGTCCTGTGAGCGCCCTCACGTGGAGCCGGAGTCGTCCTGTGAGTGCCCTCACGTGGAGCCGGAGTTGTCCTGTGAGCGCCCTCACGTGGAGCCGTAGTTGTCCTGTGAGCGCGGTCCTGTGAGCGCCCTCATGTGGAGCCGGAGTCGTCCTGTGAGCGCCCTCACGTGGAGCACCCTCACGTGGAGCCGGAGTCGTCCTGTGAGCACCCTCATGTGGAGCCGGAGTCGTCCTGTGAGCGCCCTCACGTGGAGCCGGAGTCGTCCTGTGAGCACCCTCATGTGGAGCCGGAGTCGTCCTGTGAGCCCCCTCATGTGGAGCCGGAGTCGTCCTGTGAGCGCCGTCCTGAAGCCTGAGTCGTCCTGTGAGCGCCGTCCTGGAGCCGGAGTCGTCCTGTGAGCGCCCTCACGTGGAGCCGGAGTTGTCCTGTGAGCGCCCTCACGTGGAGCCGGAGTTGTCCTGTGAGCGCCGTCCTGAAGCCGGAGTCGTCCTGTGAGCGCCCTCACGTGGAGCCGGAGTCGTCCTGTGAGCGCCCTCACGTGGAGCACCCTCACGTGGAGCCGGAGTCGTCCTGTGAGCACCCTCATGTGGAGCCGGAGTCGTCCTGTGAGCCCCCTCACGTGGAGCCAGAGTCGTCCTGTGAGCGCCGTCCTGAAGCCGGAGTCGTCCTGTGAGCGCCGTCCTGGAGCCGGAGTCGTCCTGTGAGCGCCCTCACGTGGAGCCGGAGTTGTCCTGTGAGCGCCCTCACGTGGAGCCGGAGTTGTCCTGTGAGCGCCGTCCTGAAGCCGGAGTCGTCCTGTGAGCGCCCTCACGTGGAGCCGGAGTCGTCCTGTGAGCGCCCTCACGTGGAGCACCCTCACGTGGAGCCGGAGTCGTCCTGTGAGCACCCTCATGTGGAGCCGGAGTCGTCCTGTGAGCCCCCTCACGTGGAGCCGGAGTCGTCCTGTGAGCGCCGTCCTGAAGCCGGAGTCGTCCTGTGAGCGCCCTCACGTGGAGCCGGAGTCGTCCTGTGAGCGCCCTCACGTGGAGCCGGAGTCGTCCTGTGAGCGCCCTCACGTGGAGCCGGAGTCGTCCTGTGAGCGCCCTCACGTGGAGCCGGAGTCGTCCTGTGAGCGCCCTCACGTGGAGCCGGAGTCGTCCTGTGAGCGCCCTCACGTGGAGCCGGAGTCGTCCTGTGAGCGCCCTCACGTGGAACTGCAGCCAGTGCAGGAGCCGGACGTTTACTGGGAGTGGGAGTTCTCCCCATATTAGACATTCTCTGGCGTTACTGGTTCCGCCCGGACATACCATTCGCTGGGAGTTGCCCGGGGGAGGAAGAAACGTAAATGTCTTTATTTTTTTATTTCTTTAGTTGTATATTTATGGTATTTGAATACATTTTGCTTTCCTTATCTTTATTTACTATGTATCTCGATTTGATTTTGATTTACTTAAGGTTATATGTTGAATGTGTAGCTAAATTGTTTTCCCTCTTAATTTGTAATGGGCCCATCCTCTCTTTTATAAGCTGTTGCTTTGTTCATTTGAGCAGGTCAGTTTTAGTTTAGTTTTTTTAAAAAATTTTTTTACCTTATTTTCTGTTTGTTTATTTTATTTTTGTTGTAAGAAATGTATGAGTTTGTGAAGTTTTTTTTTTTTTTTGGTTCAAATAAAGACCCATTTTTCGTAATAAGCTTGTGTCCCTGACTCCTTGGTCCCTCACACTGCGTCATGCATCTCTTTGTGGATATTTACTACACACATCCGTGACACTAACGGTCTAGCAAGTTTCTCAAAGTTAAGAAGAAACGTTCTTCCAGTAACATTAATAAAACTTTCTTTCAAAGTCTTCTGGTCTTTAATAATGTTACCTCACAATCATTATACATTGCCCATTGAATGTTTTTTTTTTCTGAAGTGCTGGACCTTTTTTTAAATGTTTTTGTTTCACAATATTCAAAAGTTGCGTTCCCATAATCTTTGAAGAATTATAAAATGGAATGTTCCGTTAACATTCCATAACCAAGATTTTTTTTAAATGGCCGTTTAGTGAACATTCAGAAATAACATTTTCAAAAGTTAATGTAAACATTCACAAAACATTAGAATATATTTGTTAGCTGGGTGTCTGCATTACTCCCTGCTTGCAGACTAAAACATCTCTAACAGCCTAACAACTTTTAATTAACCCCAATAATGAAAAACATCAAAGTAAAAAAAAAAAATCACTCACACTCACACACAGAAAAAGAGAGCAAGAAATATGTTTGAAAAGTCATGTCAAAAGGTAAAATGTATTGTTACATACACACTGTATGTAGCCTTTATCACATTTCGGACCAAAGAACATTCCATAAATGAACCGTATCATATTTTTACAGAAATAGTTATTACAAATAGAGGCTCTATTCCAAAAATTATACAAAGTTTTGCCTTTTTTACAGTGGAAATCAGAAGTTAGTTTACAGAGCTTTTATAATCATTAATAATCCTTCGATCCATTATAAGCGTTCAGACTCGTACTCCTCTTCACATTTACTGTTGGTTGAGCTGCAAGTAGAAGGCCTTCTTTTACACCTGGAAAAAACACTATAATTATTTACAGTGCACAACAAAAGTGAGTTCATCCCTGTGCAATAACACACACATGTCAAATAATTGAAAATAACTTCTCAATAATTATCTTATTTCTTATTTAAATAAAATAAAAGACAATACAGAAAAAAACAGGCTCCAAAGTAGAACCTGATACATTATTGAGCACATCTGTGATTTACATTGCATGAACATGGTTATGAAATATTTGCGCTATGCATGTTGGACACACACACATTTAAAGGATGGAGAAATGTGCCCATGCTGCAGTTCTCACTAAACAACACTTAATTTCATTGTTCTGGGTGCCATAAAGTCTGCATGTGTTTTTATACAAGCAAATCTTCAGTGAATCAGACAGTAATGTAAAGTACTGCTAATGCTACAGCAAACAGCAGGGGGCGCTGCTCTCGCCTGGCTTACCAAACTGAAGTCTGCATCTGACTGATGGTCTCGGGTAAAGGAGATCCGAAACTCTCCGGGAGAAGGAGGTACAGCAAGCCGGAGAGGACATTCAGACTGCCGATTAAGATGTACGGCAGAGACTTGTAGAAGCCTCCTGTAGCAGAACAACACCAGATCCTGAACAAGGGCTTTTGATACGCATGTTTGAGAAGTTATGGACAATACACACATCATATATTTAGATTTTTAACTCTTTTACCGTCTTTTAAAATAGTACAGCATCTTCAAAATATCAAATTTTGTTAAAATAGATATACATATCGGTTTGGAATGACACAAGGGCGAGTAAAGGACAAATACATCATTTGTATAGAAACCTGGTTTTGAGAACAGATTGCCTGTGGGCCAAATTATTTTCTTCCTCAGTATTTTTGTCATTTTCCAGTACAGATATCTAAACATTCTTAAAGGATTAGTTCACCTCAAAATTAAAATTACCTGATAATTTACTCACCCCAATGCCATCCAAGATGTTCATGTCTTTCTTAAGTTTTTTGACTATTTTTCTCCACACAATGGACTTGTCTTCAACGGTAACCAAATTGTTAAAGTCCGAATCAATGCAGTTTCAAAGGGCTTTGAAGAGCTTCAAACGGCTCTGCACGACCCCAGCTGAGGAACAGGGTCTTATCTAGCGAAACCATCGCTCATTTTCTAAAAAAATGTTTTAAATGTATATACTTTTTAACCACAATTGTTGGTCTTGTGCTGGTCTGCGACGCGCAGGCATTACGTCATCACGCTGGAAAGGTCACGCTGGACGTAGGCGGAAGTACCGCCCCATTGTTTTAAACGTCAAAGATACGCACACGAAAGGACCATTTTAAACAATAAATGGACACAAAGACATAAATATGTCATTCAACATACAATAAAATTTGAACGATCCTCCTTCTTCACGCTTGTAAACAACGGGGCGGTGCTTCCGCCTACGTCCAGCGTGACCTTTCCAGCGTGATGACGTAATGCCTGGCGGGTCGCAGAGCTCTGTGAAGCTCTTCAAAGCCCTTTGAAACTGCATTGATTCAGACTTTAACAATTTGGTTACCGTTGAAGTCCATTGTGTGGAGAAAAATCCTGAAATATTTTCCTCAAAAAACGTAATTTCTTTTCCACTGAAGAAATCAAGATACACTTATTACATCGATGATTTCTGAGATGAGATAGGAGAGGTTATAGACCTAAGTAGATGAAGTATGGTGCAGAAAGGCTGCCCACTCTGGATGCCATGGAGCAGGTTCCCAAAGCCGTGCCCCTCACCACGGTGGGGTAAAGCTCGGCAGTCGCTGGGTACACGATCGAGAACGCTGCCGACAGACCGAACTTTCCCAGCATCACCAGAGCTATGGTAACATAACTCATATCTACAGGTTAAAAGAGACAAAACATAACATCCAAAGTTGACCAAATACTGCAAAAAAGGATGCTCTTCCTCAGTATTTCTGTCTTGTTTTCTAGTACAAATATCTCAACCTTCTTAAAACAAGATACTGTTACTTGAGAAGCAAAATGACTCAAGATATATTTTCTGAAAAATGTGCCAAAATCAAGTGAGTTTATGCTTAAAACGAGAACAAATATCTGCCAATGGGATTAGAAAAAACAAGATAATTTTTCTGGCCCCATTGGAAGATATTTTACTTCTTAACTTATTTTTTGATACATTTGCATTTCAGAAAATAAGACTTAATATGTGATTTTGCTTCTCAAGTAACTGATTGATTGATTGTTTATAGTTTAATGCTATGGCTATATTCATGGCAAGAACAAAGTTAAAAATGACAAGTAAAAAAAACTAAATTTATCATGATTTAAGAATGTTTAGATATTTGCACTAGAAAACAAGACAGAAATTCTGAGGAAGAACATCAAGGATCAAACACATCATTAGACAGTCATGCCAAAGTTTGTCAGAAAATCCAGCAAATGCTGACAATGAATTGTTTAACCCTCAGGGTGTGTTCTGGTCATTTTGACCCGGAGAGGATTTTCTTTTCCCCAAAAATGCTAGTTAATATTATGACATTGGACTTAAACTGACTTTACTCAACAAGGGTATAACTACTTACTCAAAAATTTTCCGGTTAAAAAATGACCAGCCTACAAAAATAGCTTATATATCGCTCGTTATGCTATATTATCACCAAATATTATCACGTAATATTTGATCGAGGTATGGATATGAATAGCTCACTTGAGCGGGCTGCTAGATGTGAATGTGCTTTCTCTAAAAGAGTCCTCCGATCTAGCAGACAACGCTCTGAGGTGGAGAGGTCCTGGAAGAAACCATATTCAGCTCGTATTCATTCTTTTCATCATGTGAATTACATGAACATTGAGAGGATGAGAGATCACGGTTATGGATATGTAGGGATGGGTACCGAGAACGGGTACCTCTCCTCCGAGGAGCAGGACACAGAGAAGCCGTGACCAGAGGAGGGTGAAGAAGGATTTGAGGGAGATCATTGAGACGAAGCATGCTGGTAAACAGCCGTGCTTTAGAGGGAAGTAACATCCCCCTGTTTCTGCTTCCCCTAATGTGTTGGGGTTCTGTTAAGCAGGTATTTGTGTCAGTGCATTGCATAAGGGTTGGCATTAGCGTCCTCAAGCAGGCTAAGGTTGAGGCTGCCTCCCCTGATAGTGGGTTCCTTAAGTAGGCGGCTCCCTTAGATAGTGAAGTGTAACTTCCTCTCCTTCTTTAGGGAATTATACCTTTGGGCTAAGTAGTGGAGAATCTTCACCCCTGAATCTTTTTAAAGAGGCTCCCTTATTCTGTTAAGCTGGCGGAGTGAACTTCTCCTTTGAGGTTTAGGAAGGTCTTCGTTCCCAGTTTTCAAGCTCCCTTATGGTAGCCGCCTCCATTGGGGGCTGCGGTTCACAACAAAAAGGGAAGAGCCATTGCAGTAAAGGTTGAAGCTGCCTCCCCCTATTGGTCAGTACCTTATTAGGTAGCTCTCTTATGTTCGTAAAGCTGTGGCTGCCTCCCCAAAGGTTGGGCTTTTAAGTAGGCGGCCCCTTAACAAGTCATTGTATTATACTAAGGTTGTAGCTGTCCCTTTGTGGATCCCTTGAGTAGACGGCTCCTTTAGGTCATGAAGTGTAGCTTCCTTCCCTAAAAAGGTAATTAGGAAGTTCCTTCACATGTATTTAATGTAGTATTGTAAAAAGCACTATATAAAAAATGGTGACTTGGCTTGACTTGAGTATCCTCACCCCTAGGGGTTTCCTTTAAGTAAGAAGATCCTTATTACCAACAAAGTGGTATCTTCCTCCCCCTAGTGTTGGGTCCTGTAAGTAGGAAGCTTCCTTGTGTTTACCAGGGTGTGGGCTTCCCCAAATGGTGTAAGCTTTATAGAAAGCCCCATCTAGGCTGGTAGAATGAGTTGCACCCTCACCATTATGGGTTCTAAGCAAGGTCCTTGTCACAGTTTTGAGCACTCGCGATCTCCCTTTTTGTGATATGCTGAAGATTCAAGGTTAGCCGCCTCCTCCTATAGGAGTCTTTTAACCAGGCCGCTACATGATGGTTATGAAGTCATAGCTACCTCCCCGAAAATCGTGGTCTCCTTAGTAGGAGGCTCCTTCATTTACCTAAATGAAACTGCCTCCCTATTTGGGCTCTTCTATAGGCAGTTTCCCTAGGATACAAGCTTTCGCAAATTCGCAAGGTCATAGCCGCCTCCCCTATAATGGGTTTTTAAGCAGACTTGTGTAAGCAACGAAGTAGAAACAGCCTCCCCCACTTGGGCAGTATCCTTGTGTGCGCCAGAGACCGATAATGTGGTTGAGCCTGGGCCTCCTCTTTGGGATCTGTAAGTAGGTTCTCTGCTACCACAAGAGAGCTCGAGATGATCCCCAGACTGCAGGGGCTGTGATGGAGTGTACCCTCCAAGTTGCTGGAATACCTTCTCTTGGGTCCTCCATGCTCTGTTCCGGCTCAGGCAGACTTTGGAGACTATAGCACGGCTAATACTCATCCCCATTTCTAGCCTAGTCTAAGTTGGGGATCACAGTCTTGGGTGAGTGTTGGACTCCCCTCACTCAGAGGGTCTATGTGCTGAGTCCTCAGCTCCTCGGAGAACCCATCTCTGGGCCCTGGTGAGAAGTGGTTATTGCCTTGAGCTTTGCTTTCCTTCTCACTGGTTGAGTGCTGGCCTTGCGAGATGCTGACTTTAGAGCCCCTTTCACACATCGCGTTGATCCCGGGAAATTGCCAGAACGCCTTCTGTGTGAACGCAAACACGACCCGGGATTGATGCCGGGATCGATGCCGGATTGGGGACCTAGTAACATTGGCGGGATCAGTCCCGGAACGCGCGCTGTGTGAACAAAAGCGGCAACCAATGCCGTGTCGTAATGATGACGCTGAAGTGAAGTGAAAGCAGGCTAGTGAAACGGTACGTAATGCGCTAGTTTATGATTGAATCAGAGAAAAAAATGCACAAGCGTGGTTTCTCCAGAGAGAGATCGCAGCTCATAAGCAAACTATACACGCTGCTGAGACATTACATGTCACATCGATGTCACGTGTCTTTACGGGATTTTTACGGGTTGTGTGTGAACGCACTGCACTCTCTGATTCTGGAAAATCACTGGCAGTGTGAATGAACCAAAATCGAACGATCCCGGGTCAAATCCCGGGTCGCTTTATCCGTGTATTTTCCGGAATCTCTGTGTGAAAGGGGCTTAGATCAGACGGGGTGGAGCATTTTAGGGGTTGAGTGGTGTTTAGGGGTTGAACCAGATCACCTTACATGTATTTAAGGAATGCCGTCCCCCTAGTGGCGTATTTCTAAGTAGGCAGTTTCCTTATGTTTCATGATGCATTGCTGCCTCCCAACAGGTTGAGTTTACAAGCAGACGGCCCTTCATGAGTCAACATTAAGGGTGAAGCTTGCTCCACCCTGATAGCGGGTCCCTTAAGTAGACAACTCCCTTAGGTCAAGAGTGACATGAGGTCATGAGGCGAGGAAACTAGTGTTTTCTTGTGCCAGTATTCCCTTAGAGATAATGTCTGGCGTAATGTCAGGTTGACCTTACCAGACCTTGAGCTCCATTCTTCTTAGGGCTTGGAGCTTGTGTGGTGGGAATAGTGTTACTGACAGTTATAAGCTGTTTTCCTCATGGGGACCAAATAATTTCCCCACTAGGACAAGGATTTCAGATATTGTCATCCTTGTGGGGAAATTTTGTTCCCATAACATAGGGTTTTCCAGGACCACACACACACACACACACACACACACACACACATACACACACACACACACACATACACACACACACACACACACACACACACACACACACACACACACACACACACATACATAAATACTCGGTTTAGCTATCTTTGTGGGGATTCCCCATAGGCATAATGATCTTTATACTGTACAAACTGTATTTTCTATCCCCTAACACTATCCCTAAACCTGTCCATCACAGAAAACTTTCTGCAATTCTACATTTTCAAAAAAGAAAACATAATTTAGTCCCTCGTGGGGACTGCTGGTTGGATCCAACAATGTAATATAAACTTGTACACACACTCACACTCACACACACACACACACACACACATGCACCCACGCACGCACGCACACACGCACGCGCACACACACACACACACACACACACACACACACACACACACACACACACACACACACACACTTTATCGTCAGATCAATGAGGCCAACGATCAATCAGTTCCAAAAAGAAACACCAAAACTGTCCTAATTGAAACAAGCTGACAAAAAGATGTAATATTTGGTGATAATATAGCATAACTAGATATTTATAAGCTATTTTTAAAAGGCCGGTCATTTTTGACTGAGAAAACAAAAAGCGTTACATGATTTTCAACACAGCATAAGGGTTAAACACAATCAAAAGGTAACACTAAACCTTCTATTCAATATTTCTGCTGAAACTGATGTTTTAATGAATATCTTGCATACCAGATTACAGTTAAATTTCTCACGTTGTGGTATGAGGTGAATGAAGAGAAGAAGCAGTCCTCCGAGTGACAGGGTGGAGGACAAGCAGAGGCGGCGTGGCAGGCGGCGGAGCATCAGCCAGGCCATGAGGAGCGCCGGCACCTCCACCACTGCCGACAAGAAGCAGTTCAGGAAGATGTTTCCATGTAGACTGGACGTGTTCAGAGACAAGGCACAGTATCCAATCGAAACGGCAAACCTAACAGGAGAGAGTGAGCGAGTGAGCGGCAGGTCCATTCACATGATATAATATTCACTTTAAAATATGATACTGCTTTTTACGAGTTCCTTTGCCCATATAATCTTTAAGCTGATAAGGTTGAGCGTATTTGGCTTGCAGTGGAGGGGCTCGAGGAAGCAGCTTCAACTCGAGCTTAGATCTTAGATAAACCCCCAGTGGGACTACTGATGCTTGGAGGAGGAGTACGGTAACAAGATGCCTAAAGTATGCAGGTGGAGCTGGGGAGGTGGAGGGACGCCAGAACAGCTGATGCCGGAGCGAGGTGAGCGGCTGCTTTGGCGGTTAATTGAAAGATAAGATGGGTTCACTCCTCCCGAAATTACGTTGTGAACCGCAATTATATAAATGGTTGTGTTTTTTTTTTTTAAGTATTTGATTCCCGCATGACTAAAAACCAACTCATAACCAACAAAATGCTGATCATAGAAAAGTCAGCACAAACATCTCAGTCTTACCACAAAACAAATACTGGAAGACCTTTACATCTTTAAATACAAAACACATTTGGGACCAAGAGTGTGAGACCACATCAAAATCTCTAAATTAGTTTGAACCCAGTAATAACGTTCTTTTAACAATAAAATGCTATGATTTAAGTTTCTGCCATATTTCTAATCAAACAAGCAAATATATGACATTAATCGTGTGACTCTTTGTACAAATGCTCTGCTGTGGAACATAGAAAAGAGACACAACAAATACTGAGACATTCACAAAAAGTCAAGCTTTTCACATAATTGTTAACTCTACATTTGCATTGTTATGTACACTAAAAAGGTTCTATATTTAGTAGTGGCCAAAAGTGATGTCCGGCCTAGGAAAATTTACATTTCAAATATTATAAAAAATTTGTAAAACATTTTTGTAAGCATATTGCATACTTGTGCTTGGAGTCGATTGTTTTATTCCTGATAATAACGCAATGAAACATGCCAAATTATGCTGACATAATTTTTGGCCATAAATTATGAACACATGCAAAAACAAGAGAGAACCAACTAAATATTAGTAATTGATCATGTTGTTGTCAATGTTTGCTTTTTCCTGTCAGCTTTTTGTTTTTCTGTGTATTTTGTTTGGCATACCGTAATAAAATAAAACCTGTAGTTGTAGTTTGTATTTTTTTTGCCAAATAATTTTGTCAAATAAACACCTTAACCAAGTTTAGTGTTTTGGTCTTCCCTTGTATTTAAAATATCTCAAAAATATAAAATATTTTCCTCATATTTTGATGGTTTAATGAACTTGTAGGGTCATTTAAACACATCTCCCTCCAGACATGACTTTAGTACACTGCTGTAGAACCTTCCTCATATAACGAACCTTCATGGGATCATTTTATGGATTTAGTATAATTTTTTTCAATTAGTTTTTTATTTCGATTATATTTTAAACAGCTTGTAAACATACTTTATCACTAGATACAATTTGAAATAACCTTTTAAGCATGAAAGCATTAATTTGAGACATTTCTCCTTTTGTTATAAAGCATTGTCAAGCTACTGGTTTGTGCTCATAACTTCCCAGCTTGATTGGGATTAACACATTAACAAGGAGATTTCGAACTGGATTTCACTCTTCTTTTATTCCAACATTCATTTGTAAAAGGTAATGAAAAGTGAAAAACCTTTAAACAGAAACAAAATACTTTTGTAAATAAATGCTTTTTAGACAAGAATTACTGTTACAGTAGTTCTCATCAGATGTAAATCACACAGTCTTTACTCAACGCTGTCATAAATTTCAGCTTAATACAAAAGCAGTATATAAAATGTCATATTAAACAATTATTATAAATGTTTAAAGATTTTACAGATTAAAATGCAACTTTGACATTTTAAATTTACCAAAGAACATTCCACAATAACTGAGCTAAAACAACATTAAAGTGAATACAAACAAGGGTGCAATAAATTCTCATAACTAACATTTGCTGTGCTATTGCTCAGTAAACAGTTCAAAGGCCACAAACAATCAGTGCTTAAAATACAAGTTTCCGCGCTAGATGTAAACAGTTCCGTTCATATAAGAAAGTAGGTCATGATCTGTAGCAGCTCATCATGTAATAACTGCACATAATGTAATAAGTATTACATTGTAATTGTAATAAAATGTTCATAATGTAATAATTTTATCAAAACAAATAAAACCTTAAGCTCATAATGTTTTAACAATTTTACATTATGAGAAATTTATTACATTATAAACTCACCAAAACCATGTAATATTTTCATAATTGTAATAGCTTTTAAAATGAAATAAAATTAGTATTCCCTTACAGTACATTTTTAAAAATCTAAATCCAGTCTTAACCTGCCAACAAAATCCACCAGAATAGTACTATTATTATTATTATCACTACTACTTCTTGTATACACACTGTTAAATGACAAACAGTGTGTTGTGAAGAAAACCCCACAGTATCAATATAGCAATGATGTGTGTGTGTGTGTGTGTGTGCGTGAGAGATTGTGTGAGTGTGTGTGTGTGTGTGTGTGTGTGTGTGTGTGTGTGTGTGTGTGCGCGTAAGAGAGAGAGAGAGAGTGAGAGTAATTGTGTGTGTGTGTGTGTGTGCACGTGAGAGATGGTGTGTGTGTGTGCGCGCGCGTGTGTGTGTGTGTAATATGTGTGTGTGTGTGTGTGTGTGTGTGTGTGAGAGACTGTGTGTGTGTGTGTGTCTGTGTGTACGTGTGTGTGTGTGTGCGCGTGTGTGTGTGTGTGCGCGCGTAAGAGAGAGAGAGAGAGAGAGAGAGAGTGAGTGTGTGTGGGTGCGTGTGTGTGTGTGTGTGTGCGTGAGAGATACTGTGTATGTGTGTGTGTGTGAGCGCGCATGTGTGTGTGTGTGTGTGAGAGTGTGTGTGTGTGTGCGTGTGTGTGTGTGTGTGTGTGATAAAACATGCTATCTGCTTCAGCCAACGGCAGCACAGAGCACAAGTTAAGCAAACATTTCTTCACTTTAATATAAGTTACAGCAAAACAAAGCCTGATTGTACATCAGAGTGCATGTTGAAAAATATAGTACAACTAACAATCTAACTAACTCTAACAAACACCTCCCTGCTAAAACGGTTTGTTTTTGTGATGTAAAAAAGAAGAAAGATAAAACCTGAACTTCTGCACCTTTAATCAACTACTACTACTAGTTGTAGTATCAGTAATCTGGTGGATTTTGTAGGAGGTTTAAAACTGGATTTAGATTTTTAAAATGTACTGTAAAGGAATATAAATGCTTTGTTTATTAATAATAACAACAATAATAATAATGATATTATAATAATTGCATGAATATTTAAATCTGTTACATTATGGAGACTTGATATAGTTTTTTTAATGTACTGTAATGCAATACTAATATTTTTATGTTTTTGGTGAGTTTATAATGTAATAAATTTCTCATAATGTAAAAAATGTTATTGCATTATGAGCTTAAGATTTTAGTATTTAATTATGAACATTTTATCACAAAATAATGTAATACTTATTACATTATGTGCAGTTTTTATATTATGTGCAGTTATTACATGCTCCGTGATTGACTAGGCCACCGCCAACATCTTAATATCGGTAAACATCCTTTGTTCACTAAAATAAAATATTAATAAACTCCTCACCGGCTGCCGCTCCAGAATCTGAGGATGCGTTAGGTAATTAAAGAGCATATTGCAGGTAAAACAAAATCTAAATTATTATATAACCTTGTATGAAAATACCATATGAAAAGTTAATGCAGGATTTAAAATGTTTTAAAACAACATAAGGGCACTAATTTAGTAGATAAAGTGCGCGTTTCTTGGACTGCTCGTAAAAACGGCTTTTTTTTTTCAACATCGCGTCATTTTACGTCCCGCTAGGGAGCCTCAGCCTCGGCTCAGTGCAGAGTAGGCTTCAGTGAGAGCGGCCGTGAGTCAGTGTGTTTTCGGTAGTTTTTGTATTTTAATTTATCATCGTCATGGTAAATTATTGTTTGTGGAGGTTGCAAAAACTCCGGCCTGTCAGGACATCGAGTCCACAGGTTTCCATAACAAGAAAAAGGACGGTGCTGTATATCTTTCGTGCCTGGTGCGGTGTGTGCCGGTGAAGAGACGGGATTTCTCTTCCGCATCGGCTTCGAGAACCGCGGTCGTGTGTAGCGTTCACTTCAGATCGTGTGTAGCGTTCACTTCAGATCGTGTGTAGCGTTCACTTCAGATCGTGTGTAGTGTTCACTTCAGATCGTGTGTAGCGTTCACTTCAGATCGTGTGTAGCGTTCACTTCAGATCGTGTGTAGTGTTCACTTCAGATCGTGTGTAGCGTTCACTTCAGATCGTGTGTAGTGTTCACTTCAGATCGTGTGTAGCGTTCACTTCAGATCGTGTGTAGCGTTCACTTCAGATCGTGTGTAGCGTTCACTTCAGATCGTGTGTAGCGTTCACTTCAGATCGTGTGTAGCGTTCACTTCAGATCGTGTGTAGCGTTCACTTCAGATCGTGTGTAGTGTTCACTTCAGATCGTGTGTAGCGTTCACTTCAGATCGTGTGTAGCGTTCACTTCAGATCGTGTGTAGCGTTCACTTCAGATCGTGTGTAGCGTTCACTTCAGATCGTGTGTAGCGTTCACTTCAGATCGTGTGTAGCGTTCACTTCAGATCGTGTGTAGTGTTCACTTCAGGTCGTGTGTAGCGTTCACTTCAGATCGTGTGTAGCGTTCACTTCAGATCGTGTGTAGCGTTCACTTCAGATCGTGTGTAGCGTTCACTTCAGATTGTGTGTAGCGTTCACTTCAGGTCGTGTGTAGCGTTCACTTCAGATCGTGTGTAGCGTTCACTTCAGATCGTGTGTAGCGTTCACTTCAGATCGTGTGTAGCGTTCACTTCAGATCGTGTGTAGCGTTCACTTCAGATCGTGTGTAGCGTTCACTTCAGATCGTGTGTAGCGTTCACTTCAGATCGTGTGTAGCGTTCACTTCAGATCGTGTGTAG